AACGTGTTTGGTACATAGCGAAGGGGTCCAGGGGTGTGTGTTCCGTAATGCCTCGACATCTCTAAATAAAACCCCACTTGGTCCTCTACCCCCCTCTTAATTCCCCCCCCCCCCCCCCCCCTCTCTCCCATAACCAATTTACCAGTCGCAATCAAAAAGGGGCCATAGAGTATTAAACTCATCGCGTCCAATCTAAAACAAGGCGGAAACCCTTATTCCGAACAACCTAACGGTACTATAACCACTATATCGTGTTAGTTCAGTCGCACATAGTACCGTCGATGTACCTCTTATTGATGAGCATCCCAGATATTTGCCATAATTCAACAACCACTCGCTACCCAAGTTCCCAGACAGCTTTCTGCACCATGGGCGACTTTGCTGGTTTTCCACGTGACCAAAGAGCTGCCTGGAATTCATGTAGGACTCGACCATGGACGCTGCTCAGGGTGTGACCCATCATAATCTGACAAGTGATAGATGATATGGCGCCACAGAGTTCTCAATCCTCCCACCGAAAGTCTTGGTCTGGGCATTCCCAACCATATGACTATCGGCCCCTAAGTGACGGGTATGAGGGGATATCGCGTAAGCGCGATCGGGATTCCACTGATGAAAACCAGCACCATCAGTTGGCGATGATTGTAAGATAAGCAGTCAATTCGATGCTCGAACACTGGGCGCATACTGATTGAAAACAGCGTCGTAATCATGAATATTCGCGGTTGGATACTGAATCGTCGCGCCGCACTCTTTCCGTTTCTTCGGAGAGCCGACAGGGCCGTAAAAAGGCATCTCGGAATACTTATCGGGATCAAGATGCAGTCGCCTCAAGTATCCCACATGGCCATTCTCATCACACGAGCAGTCGCACTACGTCAGTAACTTCTAAGAATAAAGAGGCCTCCAATGAGAGTGGGCATCGAGCCAGCCATAAAGATAGACATCAGATGCCAGTCCCGCCAAAAGCTCCCAAGATTCCAAGGCTCCCATCCCCTGATTTTGACGACATAGACAATAGTAAGTATGATACGTCGGATCATCAATTCTGCGCATGCTGCGGGGGTGACGGCAGTTCCGGAGCAGAGCATTGGCGAGGAGAGTGCACTACGGCAAAGATGGAAAGACGGGGTATGTCTCCTCACTCCTTTGCTAGCCTGATCGTCGGCTATGTCCGTAAATACCCCATCTAAACTCGATGTACTAACCAGCTCTAGTGTTCGAGGCGAAAGCTTATATCGCACAAAAGGACTCACTTGCTCGCTAAAAGATGGGGTTTCTACCCTCGGTATGTGTTAACGAAACAAGGGGCGTTGGAGTTAAAGATGGCCGGCCGAAAATGAGTTCAAGGTCCAAGCCCAACGGATGTAGCGGATATGTCGCTACTATAGAAGTCACCCTGTCGCGAATAGAGGTAGCCGTTCACAGTCCTAGTTTGGCCGCGACGCTCTGACGGACACAACTACTTGGGTACTGGAAATCTGAGATGACCCGGCCGTCCATGCATTACTGGCTACGTAACTATATGGAGGCGCGTATACAGCTCAGGTGATAGGAAGGCAACGTCATAGTCGACCTAGCGGGGGATGTAATCGCGGTTGGTGGTCCGTTTCACTAGCTGCGAACGTTCTCATGTGTCTAACAACGGCCCCGCGATCTGTCGACGTCGGATATTCAATAATCATGTACATTATTCCATTGTTCTTATCCATGGCTATTAATTGCTCGGGGTTCAAACCCACCATCGGAACTTGCAAGGCTCATAGACTGTGCAATTAATGTCGGATATTCGTTTTCATATATTGTGTAGACCGTGAAGTAAGACGGGACGATAAGATGAAGTCTAGTTAGGGTTGCATTTTATCTGGACTGTGGCTAGTGCGGCTAAGCACTATAGCCACCGCCACGACCATTCCTAGGTCAAGCCACATAATCTATATAGTTGCATAATTCTAAGACTATTTGGAGGACCTTTGCTATAAGAACCAATCAAAGTGGGATAAATAATTCCTACTGTCTACGCTAAGTTTATAAACTATTAGCTAAGGGATTAAGCTATTAGCTAAGAGATTAAGCCTGTTTCTCATCCGGCATATGCACGGTCCACTATAAACAACATCTAGTGATAATCTAGAGGGGAATACTCGGCCTTCATTCACAAGCAGCAGATATCGACAAGTCTTGAAATTCCAAGAGTCCTTGGTATATAATTTAGCTGATATTAGAAGTATAGTTTCGAGCCATTCAAATACTTCATTTTATCTCTCAGTCTCGGTCAATATATCTCGCTATTGATTAAGTGCCACCAGACCAGTCTTGGCATTTAAATCTCATCGTAGAGTTCATGAATATTACCATGGGCAGAGTTCTCCATAGCATAATGTTATTGCGACTGGAAGAAACGCATATTTAAACCCATACTGATGCTTGTATTCCCAATATTTAAATTGCTATAGGCACACAATCGTGCTAATATCCTCCCGCGGCTAGTGCTTAGGTACCTACTTCATAGAACTATTCGCCCCTGAGCAAAGGCACACAATGTCAAAGCTCGCAGGTCTAGCTTCGCACTCAGCCACCAGGGGTCGGAGGAGGCTCCATTAACTGATGAAGATCATCTGGCTATAGTGAGAAAAGGTCAAGTCGGCTTGCTTGCCTGACCCTGCCCAGCCTTGCCCCGACACCCCGCAACCCTACTGCATGCCGGGTAATCGTCCAGTCCCGATCCCCCATTCCCGAGAGCCGAGCTACACTCATTTGACCTGGCCAGCACGACATCATTTATACCAACTTCATCGCCCGCCTATATATCCTCGCTCATGTTATTATTCGTGGAATAACGACTCCAAGACCGAGGAGTGGGGAATTTTGGGTTGCCATCTCACTCTACGTTCCTACTTACCGGTAACTCGTAGCTTGTAGCATGATTAATCCTGGTTTAGATGCTTGTAGCCAGGCGAAATGTTGCGATGCGACTTCGCGGCGCCCTAAGCAAGGTCTCTGAAGGGTATGGCATCTAGTGGAGCTTCCTAAAAACACATTTATAGAGGAATTCCTCGCAGTTTCAACTCTCTTTTGCCTTCACTTTAGATCGTTAGAGTTGCCAAATTGATAGGTTTGTTCCCGTTCCTTTGGATAAACCAACTCATTTAAGACACGATGAGGACACAGAACTCGAAGCAGACCTCTCTGCTCATAACTCTGGCGGGGCTTGGATCGGCGGCAATCCTCTCTAGAGGTAGCTCGTCATTATCCGTTAAAGTTCCCACAGGGTCAGCCGTGGATGCTTCGGATCCAATTGATCCCAGCTTCTGCGGCTTCGCCTTCGAGGAAGCGTCCTTCGTACGCTACGCCCAAGACGACAACGGCGAGCCCAATGTCTTCTCCAGGAACCTCATCAAAGCCGTCACTTCGCGTACTGGCGGGACCCCTATCATCCGGCTCGGCGGCACGTCTCCTGACTACGCGAGATATCTCCCTGGCCAAAAGGAACCCGCACTGCCTGTCGCCGAACAAGACAACTACCAGAACGTCGGATTTACGACCATCGGCCCTTCCTACTGGGACTTGACGCACAATTTCCCGGGAGCCAAATACATGGTCCAAGTCCCGCTAGCGACAACAAATGTCAGCGAGACAGTTGCTTGGGCCCAATCCGCAGTGAACGGTATCGGCCTAGAAAACATCCACTCGATCCAGCCCGGCAACGAGGCGGATCTCTACGCCGATAACTACCGCGGCGAGGGCGGCGTCGAGCTAAATCCGCCGGAATACCAAGGCACTCTTAGCAACGAGACGTATGTCGGCAACTGGACCAAATACGCCGATGCCATATTGGCCGCTGTGAAGCTACCGAAAGGTCGCCTGTTCACGGCTTTCGACGTCGCGGCGCACGTCGGCGACTACGCAGATGCGTATGTGTTCGACGTAGAGACATGCTTTAAGCTCGGAATCGACAAGAAGAACATTATTAAAGATGTCTCGCATCACTACTACCAGCGCAACGCCGGTACAGCAAAGGACCTCGAAAGCGGCCTCATGAACACCACCGTAACGCATAACCACCTAAACCTATTCAAGCGCCACATCGCCTGGCTGAAGAATAACCACCCCGAGATCCCATTCATCCTCAACGAGGTCGGCAACTCGCTATTCAGAACCAATTCATACGAGTTCCAAGCACGCCTCGGAAGCGCCCTGTGGCAAGTCGATTTCTATCTATACAGCATGGCCATCGGCGTCGGACGCATCAACTACCAGCAGATAATGCACGCGGGATACGACCTATGGCTGCCCGTCGCAAGCGCCGGCCACGAAGCCCAGGTGTTCTCGAACTTCTACTCGCAGCCCTTCGTCGCGGACTTCATCGGGTCTTCCGGCAAGACGAGGGTCGCCAAGTTAGATATCGCAGGGGACAATGCCCCCGCGAATCTAGCCGCGTATGGTGCGTACGAGGGCAATGTGGCGAAAAGGATCGCTGTTACGAATCTGAATTATTGGAACAGGACGTCTTCGGGTGTCGAGAGGCCTAGTGTTATTCTTGACCTGGAGGTCCCGAAGGGCGTCGAGGCGGTTAAGGTTTACCACTTGAATAGTCCTTTGGGCGCGGGGGCTGCGGCGGATACTATTACGTATGGGGGTAGCCAGTGGACGTATGAGAGTCTTGGGGAAGAGGTTAAGGATGTGAGGGAGGACACTGAGCAAGTAGCTGTTGAAAATGGGGTTGCGAGGGTTACTGTCCAGAATAGTGAGGCGGCCCTTGTTTGGTTGTAGGCTTAATGGCTTTGGATATCTGGTATTTAGGAGCTAATATGAGGGCTTTTATAGCTGTTTAACGTATGAAATAAAAGTATTAGATCTTGATTTCGTTTTTAATTTAAGCGTATATCATACCCGGACTGCATGAAAATTTGTTACTTAACAATTATAAGCCTCCCGGTATTATGCCCGAGTTTACGAGGGGTTATTATGTCGAATTTTTTCCATGGCCCAAATAGGAAAGTAACTTAATAAGCAATATTTAGCACGTGTATTATTTTTTAAACAATTTAATTAAGTGTATAACTTGTATATATAAAGTATGGCTTAGTATTTTAACTAAAATTAATTTTAAAAGTTAAAATGGCTTTAATTAAATATATTATTATAATATATATAAAGTTATGAAAAAAGTGTTATTTTTTTATAAATAAAAAAAAATAAAAAAAAAATAAAAAATAACGTTATATAATTTAATAATAAATAATTAAAAATTATTTAATTAAAATATATTAATAAAACGTTTTTTTATTTTTTATTTATAATATTATATATTTTTAAATGTAAATAAATTATAATATATTATTTATTTAAAATTTAAATAGTTAAATTTTTTATATTATTTTTAATATTTAAAATAATATTTTAAACTTTTTTAAAAAATCTTTTTTATTAATATAAATAAAAATATATTAAAATTTAAATATATAAATAATATAAAAATAATTAAAAATTAATATTTTAATTTATAAAGTAAATATTAACTAATTAAATTATTTAATTATTTAAATAAAAAATTAAGATATATTTAATATTTTTTATATTAAATAATAATTTATTTTATAAAATAACTTTATTTTTTATTTGTTTTTTTTTTATATAAAATTTAATATATAATATAAAATTTATATAAAATTATATTAATATTAAATATATTATAATATTTAATTATAATAAGATTAATAATATAATTAAAAAAAATAAAATTAAAAAAAAATAAATTTCCGATTAATTTTATTTTTAAATTAAAGGTTATTTACTTTAATTTTAAATTATAATATATAATAAATTTAAAAATTATTATTAATAAACTTTATTATTTTATATTATTAAATAAAAGTTATATTATTGCATTTTTTTGGAAATGGTTTAAAACTGGTTTTTTTTTTAAAAGTTTTTTTAAAAAAAATTAAAAAAAATTATTATAAATATTTAAATATTTAAATCGGTTAATAAATAATATTATTATTTATAATAATATTTTCTAATTATTTAAATTAGTTTTAAGTAATAATAATAACATTTAATCTTTTATAAAATATAAATAAATATAAATAAATTATTAAATAAAAAAATAATAAAATATTATAATATTATACATAAATAATTAATATTATTTTAATTAATTATTATTAATTTAATATATTATTATTTTAATATGTTAATTTAATATATTATTTTATTTTAAATTTTATTTTAATATTTTATTGCTTTTTTTTATTTTTTTATTTATTTTATACAATAATAATTTATAATATATTAATTTTACAATATTTATTTATTTTTAAATAATTTTTTTAATTTCTTTTTAAAATTATAATATAAATTAAAAATATTATTTTTTTATTAATTATTTTAATTATATATATAATTTATTATTAAAATTTATTTATTACGGTAAAAATATAAATTATAATTTAATTATTTATACTTATTATATTATAATTAACAATATTTAATTTATTAAAATAAAAAGTAAATTAAAAAATACTATTTGGTAAAATAATAAAATATTTAATTACGTTTATTTATTAATTTATAAAAAACTTAACGAAAAAGAAATCGTTATTTACTTTAATAATAACTATTTTACCAAATTATCTTATTTTTTTTATAATATTAAAAAAAACGGTAAATTAATATATTTTTTTTTTTTTTAAATATTAATTAATTATTTAATATATTACCCATTTATACCAAATTTTAAGTATTAAATAGTTTTTTATAACGATATATTTTTTTTTTAAAAAAGAAATATTTATATTTATTACAAATTTTAACATAAAATAAAATAATAATTTTTAAAACATAATATTAAATTATAATAAAATTTATTAAATAACTTATTTTTTTATTCTTTTAAAACATATTTATATAATGTTACACAAGGTGGATAGTTGTGGTTATGGCATAGTTATTATAACGGTTATAAAAAGTTATAATGTTAATTATAGTTATTATATAATTAATTAATTATATAAAAGTTGCGTTATATGTAATTATACCTTAAATAATTTAAATTTTTATATATTATTTATAGTTATTATATATTATTTATAATAATATTATAATTTTTAATAATTATAAACTTAGTTTACGTTTAAGTTTTTAATAAAAGTATATTAATAATAAATGCGGATTATTTATTTTATTTATTTTTTTTTTTTATTTTATATAGTTATTTTTAAAGTTATAACTATTGAAACAATAATAAATATTTATGGCGAAAATTTATTTAAAGCCATTTTTTTAATTTTAATGGTTTATTTAAATAATTATTATAATTATTTTTATTAGATTTTAAAAATAAAGTAAAATATTATTTAGTTTAATTTTTAAGATTAAATTAATTTAAATAAGTATAATATTATTAAATATATTATTATAATTAAAATTAAAGTTTTTATTTTAAAATTTATTAAAAATAAAAAGATTTTTATATATAAAATAATTATAGCTATTAAATAAAATAACAGTATTTTTATATAAAATATTTTAAACAATAATATTATTATATTAATTAATAATAAATTTGATAAATTATTTAATAAAATTTAAAAATATTATATAATTGTTTAATTAAAAAAAAATAATTAATATTTTAGTAATAAGTTAAATGTTTAAATATATTTAAAAAATAATTAAAAAGGAAACTTTATTGTTTATTATATTTAAATATATTAATAATAATTTAATATTAATAATTAATATTTTTTATAAAATTAAATTATATTTTAAACTTATTAATTTATTAATTATAATAAAGTTAAAAAAAGATTATTATAAATATTTTTAATAAATTTACGTTAAAAAGATAAAATTTATAAAATGGTTTTTTAAATAATAAACGTTATATAAAAATGGCTGTATTTATAAGATTTTAAAAATTAAGGAAAATATTATAACCTTGGATTTTTTAAGGATTATTAAGATTTATTAGGTTATAAATTAGGTTATATGTTAAATTAAAAAATTTATAATTATGGAATAAATTAAAAAAATTTTAAAATTATTAGTAAAATTTTTTTTATAATTTTTAATTGTTTTAAAAAATAATTTTATATTTTAAGGTTTATTTGTAAAAATTAATATATATTTTATAAATATATTATTTAATTTAAATTAAACTAATATTTTAAATATAACGGGTTAAGGAAATAATTATTTTTATTACAATAATTTAATAAATATTTATTTTTAGCAATTTATTAATTATAGAATTTTTTAATATATTATTATTAGAAAATTTAATTATTAATTATTTAATATTTTTAATAAAGAAAAGTATAAAGTAATTAAAAAACGTTATTAATTTATTAAATAAAAAATGTTTTAAGTTAAAATTAAATTAAAAAGTTGGCGTATTAAATTAAGGTATAAATTTAACAGTAAAAGATGTTAATTAAGTAATAATAGTGGGTTAAACGATTAGTTAAATAATTAAAAAGATTATTTTAATAGTTTAATAGTTGTAATTATAGTTAATAATGTAAGGATTTAATATTAATTTATTTATAAGGTATATATTATATTGGTTTAATTTAATTGTTATTTACTAGTTAATAGTATTATTTTAAATATTTATGGTAGGTTTTATTTAATTAATAATAAGGTTTTATTAAAATTTAATATATAAATAAAAATTAAAAGTGAAAAAATGGTAAAAGTTAAGTTATTAACTTTATTTATTATTAATTAAAATATTAAGGTAATAAAAGGTATGTTTAATAAATTAAATAAATTTAATATTAAAAATTTAACGTTAATTAATGTAATTATTATAAAAGGATTTTATATTAATATTATGTTAAAAGTTATTTTTAAGGAAAAAGTAAAAGTATAATATTACGGTAAAATTTATATTTTAAAGTATAAATTATAAATTAGTAATAAAGTTATTAAATAATTAATTAAATAATTTAATTTTTTATTTTTTAAATATAAATTATTTAAAATTTATTTATTATTTATTTATATTTTAATTATATTTTAATTATATATTAATATAACTAATTTTATAATTTATTTTATATTAATTATAATAAAAAGGTTATTTACTTTTTTATTAAAAAAAAAAAATATTAAAGATTTATAATATTTTAAATTTAATTATTTAAAATTAAATATTTTAAAAATTTTAATATATAATATTAAAAAAGTAAAAATTAAAAGAAAATTTATAATTAAATATAAAACTTATATTAAAACTTAAAACAAATATATTATTTTTAAAAAAAAATTAAAACGTTATTTTTTATAATTATTTTAAAAAATATTTTAAAATTTATTTAATTTTTTTATAAAATATAACAAAATATTGTGGATATTAATTATATTAAATAAATATTTGGGATTTATTATAATTTATATATTTTTTAATAAAATATAAAATAATATTATATTAAAAATTAATTAAAT